GTAAAGAAATTGAAGTTTGAAAGACTTTCCCAGGTATCCGTGTCTGAAATTTGGACTCTTTTTAGCCATGTCCCCGTATCCTACATTTTAGAATATAAAAGATCCGACACTTAGATACGTACCCATACTCGAGTCCGAGTATCATGGGTTTCTGGGATACTTTGGTAAGCTCTTCTCTTCTGTGTTTTTCAAATGCTTGAGCCCCCACCTCTCTTCTTTAGTCGGATCCTTGAAATAGGCTTTAGCAAAAATATTGTAGGGCATAATTATATTTTTGAACATGAGGAGGACGAACATTTTAAGGGCAGTAATGAAGACCGAGTATACTTTTAAGTACAATTGTGGGGGTCTTGCACTCGTAGACAATTACATTTAAAGTGCAATCACCAAGTAACTCCTTTGGAGACGAGATTCCCAGGATCATCATTAAACTGGGGATGAGGTTCGCTTTTTGTAGTCACCATCTGGATGTGCATGCATGTCTTGATATGCATTTTTTCTCGTAGTAGTCACTTACAATTAAAAGCTTACGTGCATCTTTGTTCAACGGTAGTTAGAATGGATGATGGCCTTACCATTAACTTTCCAAAGGGATGCGCATATTGTTCCATGTGTGACTTAAATTTTANAGGTAACTATTGCTAAGGATAATCATTGTATAGATATCCCTGGTCACAGGATTTTCCTTAGTTACTGGCTCTTGGAAGGAACTTCCAGATTTAAAGACTCGGTCAAATTACCACAGAAGCTAAGAACGAGATGGAGACAAAGGTAGATCCTGTGAATGATTCAACCAAATTGGTGCAGGGAATTGTCGGCATACGCTCAGTAGCCAGTGATGTGCAAAATCTCTGTTCTCTTGCTATTGAGAAAGCTGACAGATGGCTAGCCTCAAATTGTAGAACAAGCCTACATAGCATCGGTAATGNGGTGCAGGGAATTGTCGGCATACGCTCAGTAGCCATTGATATGCAGAATCTCTGTTCTCTTGCTATTGAGAAAGCTGACAGATGGCTAGCCTCAAATTGTATCACAAGCCTACATAGCATCGGTAATGTTTTTTCTGAGATTTTACATTTCATTATCTTGAAATATGAAATTTTGCGGTCGCATGAATAAACATTGTTTGCATCTTTGCAGAAAATCCACAAATGGAGAATTAGACGATGGGGGAAGTTCTGGTGCCTAACAAGAGTGCAAGACTGCAACAGACATTGAACACAAATCCCCATTCAAGGTTTGAGACCTAGGGAAGATCTCAAGGCTGACATGGGTCAAGAACGGAGCCGTGGTGGAGAGATTAAAAATCTTCCGGGGATCCTAATTTTCTTAAGCCAGACACTGTACTCGAAGACAGGTTGTCATCCATTCAAAAGGAGATTGACTTGAATGTTTCTCCAGTGCCCTATCTGAATGAAGAGTTTATGCCTTGAGTCGAGTCATCTAGAGACAACTAGAACAGTTCCAAAACTGAAAAAGGACCAGTTGTTGAATCCCAGTTGAAGCATGCCTGAGAGTAAACATAACACCAAAGTGGAGATGCAAGATTTTGGTGACTATAAGAGCAATGCATCACCATGTGGCCGGAAGTTTGGGTGAGAATTCTGAATACTGTCTTAAAATCACTAGTTGGTTGGAGTGCAAGGGCCATATTAAGAAGGAATTCAGAAAGCAGTTTCTAACGTGGTTCAGCTGGAGATCAACTCAGGAAAGCGGAGTAGTCCCTCATTTATACAGATTCTAATGGACGATCAGTTGGTTGATTCTTTCTTCTCAAATCATCAGTGTCCAGCTATATGAATGACTTTATTTGTAGGCATTAATTGGTCCAATTCATGACATGGCTTAGCTTTTATTCCTAGTTGAATTAGTCCTGAAAAAACCCCTAATTGGTTTTGATAAAAATTCAATTTTTAGTAGATTTGATAAAAATAGATGAAATGTACAGTTGAAAAGTTGATAAAAGTTGTGAACATGATTAAGGAAGATATATGTGATAAGTTTGTTAATTACTGTATTCAAATGTAATGTAAGTCTTTTACATCGTTTGTACCACATGACATCAAGAGAATTAATTGTCACGAGACAAAAATCTTCTCTCATAACATCCCTGGAACCCTCACCTGTCATAAAGTCTAATAACTTAACAATATGATCTTGTCGCTCATGATTGGTGGCAAGATACAAAAATAGGATCCAAGGGAACCTGAAAGCATTTTTTCCTAGCTCCCAACCCTCTAGGCTCTAGTGCAGCCCGTTTCTGAACAATTCACAGCATAAATGATAATCCGTCAAAGAAATGAATACCAACAAGATAATCATTAGTCGAGATGTGATATTCGAAGAAAATGCAAAATGGAATTGGGAGCAAGATAAAGAGGAAAAGTAATTTGTTCCCATCATTATTTCACAGCAAAATGCAATTTAAGAAGATCAAAATAATTCTGAAAAATCTTCTCCACATATACCGTCATCTTCAAGTTCAAGCTCATCGTCACCAAGTTCAACTCCAAACTCAACTCCAGTGAGATTAAGAAATTTGTATGGCATTTAAGCAAGATGTAATTTTTACATTGTGGATCCAGAGAATTTTGAAGAAGTACTAAAGGAAGAGGCTTGGAAGAAGGCTAAGGAAGAAGAAATTGATGTGATTGAAAAGAACAACACGTGAGCTTGTTGATAGGCCAGAAGACAAAGAAGTTATTGGTGTAAAGTGGATTTACAAGGTGAAATACCATTCAGATGGTTCGGTACAAAGAAACAAAACAAGGTTGGCTGCAAAAGGCTATTTACAACAGCCTGGTATTGACTATCAAGAAACATTTGCTCCGATAGCTCGTTTTGATATCGTGGGAGCTCTTATTTCTTTGTCTGCCCAAAATGGTTGGTTATTGTATCGACTTAATGTAAAGTCAGCTTTTCTAAATGAAGTGTCGAAAGAACAAGTATATGTTGAGTAACCGCAAGGGTTTGTCATCCAAGGCCATGAAGAAAATGTGTACAAGCTAAAGAAACTGCTCTATGGGTTGAAACAAGCACCTAGAGCATGGTTTAGTGAGATTGACAGCTATTTTGAAGAAAAAGCATTTGAGAAAAGCAAGAGTGAGCCTACATTGTATGTGAAAAGAAAAGGTATGGGTGATATTCTTATTGTGGCACTTTATGTTGATGATGATAGGAAGCAATGTTGAAATGATTGAGAATTTTAAAAAGGAAATGATGATGAAGTATGATATGAATGACATGGGAAGATATGTCATTTTCTGGGAATTGAAATTTATCAAGATGAAAAAGGTGTATTTATTCCACAGAAGAGAAATGCTAAAAAAATTCTGAAATAGTTTAGAATGTTTGGTTGTAAACCAATAGCTACACCTCTTGTTGTCAATGAAGTCATGAAAGAGGATGGAAGAAGAAAGGTGGATGCTGCTCTCTACAGAAGTCTTATTGGAAATTTGCTTTATCTTACAACTACAAGACCTGGCGTTATGTTTTCAGCAAGCATGCTTTCAAGATTTATTCGTTCTCCAAATAACATTCACTTTGCAGCAGCAAAAAGAGTTCTCTGATATATTCAAGGTACCGTGAGTTACAGAATTCAATATTCCAAAAGTTCTCAAATGAAGTTAATTGACTTTTGTGATAGTGATCGGGGAGGTTGCGTAAATGATATGAAATGCATCTCTGGTTATGCATTTTTTATTGGATAAGGTGCGTTTTCTTGGACCACAAAAAAGCAACAATCAGTTGCTCAATCATCAGTAGAAGCTAAACATGTTTCAGCTGACTTAGAACATCTTAAGTACTTTGGCTGAGAAGAATTTTTGAAGATATTGGTGAAAAGCAAAAAAAAAAGACCACTAAAATATTTTGACAATAAATCAGCCATAGCAATTGCAAAGAATCACATTTTTCATAGCAGAACCAGACATGTTTCAATCAAGCATCGCTTTATCAGAGATGCAATTGAAGAAGAAGAAGTGAAGTTGATGTTCTGTAGGTCTGAAGAGCAAGTAGTTGATATATTCACCAAAGCATTACCAAGAGAAAAATTCCAGCAATCGAGAGAAGTACTAGGAGTTCAAGGAAAACACATTAAGGGGAAAATGTTAATAAGTATTGTGTTTTAGTAGAAAAGTCAAAATATGTGTCAAACAAATGAGGGATAAAAATATAATTGTGTAGAGTGTTTGGAATCTGTATAAATAGCAAAATATTCCCTAAATCGTGTAATAAAAAATAGTGAAGAAAGTCTTGGAGAAGAAGAAAGTTTCTGGTGTTCTCCTTTCTCTCAGTTTCCTCTGTATTTCCCCTGTTTTCATTACTGAAATTTGTTGCAGTATTTCACTCTGCTTTAATATAGCCCTGTTTTCGTACTGCTGAAATTTACTGGTTTCATACAGCTGAAACTACTGTTGAAACCGTATTGTCCTGCTTCCATTCGCATGAAATCAGTGCATTATTACTCAAAACTGTAATCTCGGCCAACAATTTTGCTACATAATTACTAATTTAAGAAGTTATTACGTTATTAATCTATTCACACTTGTTTGTGACTTTTAATTCTGTTTTGATACTGTCGTCATTGCTTTCGGTCTCTCTCTCTCTACCTGCTCAATTGATACACCTTCATTGACCTCTATGTCAAAAGCAGGCGGACGTCAATATTATCACCCAATTCAACATTCATTTGTTGCTTGGTATTAAAGCAGCGAAACGGTTGTCATATGTTAAACAACATTGGTTAAAAAATTTTCAAGTGCTGCATCATCATCTCTAGATGTTGATGTATCTTATTTAGCTGCGTCGACAAGTCTGTCAGTTGCTACAATTTTGCATTTTCGTCCTGCAACGTCACATCTGCCACCGAGACCTCCAGAATCTTAGGATGTAGCTGAGCTCTAGTAGTTTAATGCGATGCGCATAATAAAATAGATGACATGTTTTTTAACAAATTGATGCACCCAAAGGACAGAAACAATCGCACGGCTAGAATGTTGGGTGTCATGCACATGGCTGAAGCTTTATTCTATATTGTGCATGCTTTCATATTCTACGTTATTTATTTGCACTATTTTATCCTTATTCCTTGGTTTGTGCACTCGTTGTTTCCAACAAGCGTTTGTTGGTCTTTTACATTAGTTTACGTTCTCTCTTGTACTTAAACATTGTTTAGAGGCTGCAGCTCTTGGATTTTGGCGTTCAATAATTTTTATCAAAGTTCAAGGGATCAAATCTTTCGTTGATCTCTTCATGGAATTCTGCGGAATCAACAAATGTGTTGATGAAGTGCTCATCTTTCTTTTGTTCTTCCGACTATATTATTTGTATCATAACTGCATTGAAATCCTTGTGGAGGTGCCACCGAGGAGACTACCGACGCTCACAACCAAGCCACGAATGACGGAGGTTGGAGGGAGGACATGACGCAAATACACCAACAAATTGATAGTTGGCACAACAAATCGACACGGTTGTCAACAACACACGATGGTGGGAATGCTATGGCGTGGGTTGAAAGACGGCTGTGGAGGACTCTAGCTTTCACTAGGGGCATGACAGCAAGGATTTGGAAGCAAGGCGCTTCTTCTGCAGTCGCTGCGGTAGCAAGACAGGGAGTTGAGGCCGCTGGCAATGTGACAGAAGCATAAGTGGCTGATGATGATATTTGGAGGTCCTTTTATATATTGCCTCTGTTCCATGATGAAGAAGATGTTGAGGATTAGGATGATGAAAATTATGATGGCCCTCCGATTTTGGTTGAGGATCCCAACATCTGGGTAGCTTTTGGTTCTACTCGTAATGATGAAATTGGACAAAAGAAAATACGCGACGGTGAGGAACTTGATTCTGACTCTTCAGGGTTCAAAAAGAAACTTCAATAAGCTTGAGTAGGTTTTCTCCACTCCTATTCAATGATGCACGCAATAATATTCTCAACATTTCCCACGTTTTCCCAGTATAAATTTAAAAAGAAAAATCAAAATCTTTCATTGGGAGATAACAATCAGACCAATCACTGGAACTTTTTGGGTGTTTATCTTTATTCAGCATTTCCATTCATTTTGCGAATTTCCTTAGCTGTTTATGCTATTTTGGAATCGTAGTAAAAACTCAAAGCACACAAGAGCATGCATATGGTACCTTCCCTTTACCCTTAGTTCCACAAGTGATGAATCTATAGAAGTGGCCAAGAAAGGAGGTGTTTCTAAGCATTGGACCCTCGATAATCTCTGCATTTTTGGGAAAAGACGTGAGTAAATCGCATTGGACCCTCACCAACTACCAACTGAAGGAATTCCAAGTCTAAGACACTGCAAATGTCCAGATGTTCCAACTATAACCAAATTTCACATTTAGTGTCTGGACAAGTTCGCTTGTTGAGTCTGCATCCGTCCGAAGTTCAGTGTCATCCTCAAATTTTTTTATGGAACTTGTGTGACAACTGCACTGAAATTAGGACATATTTTCAAATTACCACAATTTTGAAATAGCAGATGAAGGAAGCAAGTTGAAAATGAACAAGTCAAACAACAACAAAAAAAATGCACAAGTACAAAAGCAATAAATAAAAGGGAAGAAAGTGTACAAACGATGTAATTGTGAAGGTTTGATCCCAAACAATGATCTATATCCTCCGTTACCAACCTCTCTGTCACGAGTAAGGCTTTTTCACTAAATTTGATCGACTTATGGTGCAATCCAAGCCCTTACGATACTTCCAGTGACTTACAAACAAAGAGCAACGATCTTTATACAATATTAAGCTTTTCGGTGCCTCAATATGACCCACAAATTTAAAGAGAAATGATATTAAAATTTAGAACTTCTCTTTTAATAAATGATATAATCAAGTTAAGATAAATAAGATATAAGATCAAAAACTTTGATGAGAATGATGTTTTTTAAAAGTTGATTCAATCAAAAGTTTTTCAAAGTAAATGATTTGATAAAAATAAATAAGATATATGATCAATATAATTTAGTTCAAGAACATCTCACTTAAATGCTCTCAAAGTGTTGTAATGAATGCAAAATGAAATGGTATTTATATAGCATTTATCAGGGCGGGATATATATTCTACGGCTGCAGTTCACATCTACTACATATCTTTTCCATTGATACTAAGTGCCACATATTAGTGGGAAGAATGTCCTTGAAATTTTCCACACAAAACTTTTTATTTTTCTTGGTATATTTAACTGCCATAAAAACTAAGAATGTTCATGAAAAATTTCCACAAAAACAATTTTATTTTGCTTAGTATATTTAGTTGCATAAAAACTTCCACCAGCTATTAAGCTGATTCGAGCAAGCTTGGGATTGCATATTCTTCATTGTCATTGCTAGAAAATATCCAGATTTTACTGTTAATAAAACTTCACGATCAAAATGTCCCATGGGATGGTCTTCTGCATCAAGTGCACCACATGGCATCGAGAGAATTAATTAATTGTCACGGGTGAAAATGTGCTCTCATAACATCCTTGTTCTAGCATCCTCATAGGGATGTCAATCCGGCTCGAGAGGCTCATGGCTTTTTGGAACCTAGTCGAGGCACAAGCCAAGCCTCATTTTTGAGTATTGGCCAGAGCCCGAGCCTGAGCTTGAGCCAACCCGTGTCAGCCACACCAATATGGACCATTTTGGCTCGTGTATTGGAAATAAGGCAGCTACAACTGCCTTTAAAATAGGCAGTTGTACAGCTACCTTAAAAAAATAAATGAAAATTGCCTAAATGATATTACCTCCCAATTGCATGATAGAAACCCTCGTGAAACCTATCTAGACCGAGCTCCTTAAACAGGCCCTTACCAAATAATGCATCAATGGTATTAGATTAAGCCCCCGTTTGGCATCCATTTTTTTTTCATTCTTTTTCTCTTTCTTTTTCTTCATTTCAACCACACATTCTATCAATAAAATAATATTACACATAAATCTAAAAATTCTCCTTACTTTTTAACCACATATTCTTCCATCAATTACTATTCAAAAATACATTTTTCTACTAAAATGGGTGTCAAACACCCAACATGAAACTTTTCCAATGAGTGCCATTTGTCAAGTTGAGAAGAAGTGAATATGTTTGAAAAGTAACCAGATATCACTTGTGTAATATCTAAGAGTATATCTGATAAGTGTATTTTATACATTTATTCGGTCTCCAAAATATGGACATTTCGTAGTTATTTTAATAAAATTATAGCCTAATTTATTATATA